TTGTGCGCAAAAACAAAACAAAAATAATAACTTTATTCAGCAATCTCTTCTCTTCCCTGTCATTATCCTTACACGGTTAACGCAGTGAGCACAGTGAAGGCTTCCGTGTTCTACGCCCGAACGCCGGCTCATTATTGGTCAAAGCTGCACATGTGAACAGCGCGATGCATGCGTGTGATGCGGATGCTCAGTACCTTTATGGATCTTGGGATCTTGGGGGGGGGGGGGTTTATAAGGCCTTCTAGAAATGACATCTTTGTGCTTGAAACAAGTCTCTCACATTAGTAATAAGTACATTAAGCAAAAGTTAATATTAGTTGTCCTCTATAGTTGTTGCAGTGATATGCGATCAGATGTTTCACATCATATCTATCAATATATTGTGCATTTTATAACTTTAATGGCTGTATCTAGTACCAGAACCATAAATCAAATCACCTCACTTTAGGGATGCACGATATTGGATTTTTGCCGATGCTAGGGCTGTTTGAAACAGCTTTTTAAAAACACTGTGCTCAATTTAAAATAAGTTCACTCCCATCTTCTTGCATGTTTTACCTATTCCACTGCCCGCGTCGCATCTTGGTCAAAATTAAAGCGCATTCTGTGTGAATGACGCCTAGCGCTAAATGTATGGTCCTTCACAGAGCGCATCACACGTGAGCGGTTGGATCATTCTTTTCTCTTTACTGTTATCACCGTCATATTGTCAAAGTGTCTAATTCTAACATTTGGTAATATTTCTATTCAAAATCGCGATTCCTCGATTTCTAAAAAATAAAATCGTGGCAAAACAATAAATTCGAATTAATCGATAAAATCGGGAAAACCGCCCAGCCCTACGATATGCCGATATTTTTCAACTCATTTTGGCCGATACTGATATATTTCCTTTTGTTTGGAAACACCAAGTCTCTCCTGTGTGGAAATAAGCAAATTATTTTTAATTTTGGTTAGTTTTTAACAAGAACTGCAAATTATTTTTTACTTTTGGTTAGTTTTTAACAAGAACTTATTTGTTAGAATTAAATAAACAATAATGTTCTTTAATAAAGTTATTTTATAATGACAGTACATTGAAGCTTTGAAAATAACTATAAATAAACTATTTATCAATTACTACATTGCTTTTCAGAAAGATGCAGCGGTAACCTTAGCATTTTATTTTAAGATTTAACATTTGTAGATGGTCTAAAGCAAAGGATCTGTAAAAATTCATAAAGTCTTTTAGAGCTCATAATTTGTTTAAAAAATATAACATATTACACATTAATGAATAAATCAGTATATATAAAATTATTTAATTTACAAGTGTCATTATTGTGATTTAAAAAAAAAAAAATGTAAGCTACAGCTTCTGACCTTTAAATCAAATCATACTCATGATATTATGACATCAATTACTGCTTTATTTAATCAGAAACACAGTCTAAATGTTATGTGTATTTTACTTTAATTTTATTAGAAGTAGGCCAACAGCGCCACCTACGGAATTAAAACTCCTTACAGAGCAGGCATTAGGACCTGGGGGAAGCTGCTGCTGCAGTGCTATTACTGTTTACTCTATCACACACCGAACAGTCATTCTGTACATGCATTCTCAGTTTAAATGCAGCGATCCAAAACAATGAATCTAATCATCATTCAGGCAAAACTTTGCTTCAAGATTGAGCCACACTGCTGACCTGATCTAATCGCTAGTACACCCTGAGCACAGAGTTAAGGTATTCCTCCTATCGGCAAGACATATCAGCATAATTTTTCATATCGGGCCGATATGTACATTTAAAGCCATTATTTGCCGATTCCTATATTGGTCCGATAATATTGTGCATCCCTACCTCACTTTAAAAAGAAAGATTTTTTACCAGCATATATAAATGGCCTGGCTACTTGGTTCACCAAATTGTGACAAGGTAGCAAATTGGAAAGTGAATCTTCAATACAATATTTAGAGAATTTACTTAAACTACCAAATGTTACTTCACATTTCAGGGCTGCGTTTCCCAGAAGTACTGTATGCTGACTGCAGAGCTTTAGCTTAAACCTTAATCAAACACACTTGCCTGTAATTAAAGGGGTCATATAATGCGATTTCAATTTTTCCTTACTCGTTGGAGAGTTACAAGCTCTTGGTGCATAAAGAAGATCTGTAAAGCTGCAAAGACTAAAGTTTCAAATCCAAAGAGATATTCTTTATAAAAGTTAAGAGTCAACCACGCCTACCTAAAACGCCTCGTTCTAACACGCCCCCACAGGTCTACGTCACGATGTGGGAAGATTTGCATAACGCCGCCCAAATGTTCACGCAAAGGAAGGCGGCATAACTTTTATTCTCGCTGTAGTATTGTTGCTGCCGCCGCCATGTCGTGGAAGTGCTGTGCGTTTCGTTGTGAAAGTGAAACTACTTTGTTTGGCCTTCCAAAAGAGGACACGACTAGAAATCAGTGGTTAAGTTGTATTTACAACACTGTTCCAGAACAGTTCAACCCAAATATTCAGATGTGTGCAGTGCATTTTATGGAGGACGAAGACTGTTTCCTGGGAGAGGAGCCTTCAATGCCGGTGTTCTGACAAATAATGCTGACTCTCAGCCTGTAGACCGATGAGCTTTGTGAAAATCGACACGTTTCAGAAAGGCGGGGCATAGAGGAGAAACAATAATGTACAGTATGTGGAAAATAATGTGTTTTTTTAACCTTAAACCGCATAAACACATTTCATTACACCAAATACACAAAATAATATTATTTTTAGCAACGTCATATGATCCCTTTAAGACCTTGATCAGATTGGTTAGTTGAGTTTGATTAGGGTTGGAGCTAACCAGTGGCCCTCCAGACCAGGGTTGAACTGCCTGGGCCAGAGGTCTGCATTCCTGACACAGCTAAATGTGGCTCCAGACAAGTTTTAATTGCTGAATGCGGGTGGGAAGATACTGGTGTTTGCACAGGAAGAGGTTAGACATTCTCAATGTATGTGATAGCACAGGGAAACTTATATTGTACTTGTATAAATATGTGGTGTATATTTGAATTACTGCAGTATGAAATGTAATCTGAAACAAGTGCAATGTTAAAATGTAATATGATAAAAGACTGGTCCCTGCAAAATAACCTTTATCTGGTCTATTGCATTCCTAGTTGAGTGGAGTAATTGGTGGTATATTCCTCCAACTAGAGGTCTTTTCGGGTCCTAAAATCTGTACCCGACCCGAATTGACCCGAATCACTTCTTACCCGAACCCGACGTGCATAAATACATTTTTTTTAAAGAAAAACCCGACCCGAGACAGACCCGATGAAATTAGACCCGAGTCCGACACGACGGCATTTATTTTCGAACCCGACTGGACCCGAACGTAAACGGCATTGACGTGTGTACAGCCTGCAGCCCCGCAGTCAGTCAGGAAAAAATCCCGGTGCC